AATACTTGACAAGCGCCGGGAGGTTGCTCACACACTGCAAACACACTATGTCATGAAGCTGTAAAATAGGACAGCAACGTTAGCATTGACAACATGGCAACAGTGTGAGTCAAACGCACCAAGTGTTGCCGAGGTTCTGAAGACCCACAAGTCCTCGAGGATGTCTCTTTCTTGCCATCTCATTCCTGGGTGATGTTCTGCCACTACTGACACGTGCCGGGTATGTGGAGGCTGAGCGTGGTGATGGCGGCGTCGTGGACCTCGAGACGCATGCTGCTGTCTCTAGTCGGGTTGCCCCGGGCGTTCGTCGTCACTGCGAGGCTGGCTACGAGATAAAGCACAAATACGTGATGATACCAGCTGGAATGGCTACATTCGTCATGTAGTAACCTGGTCGTCGTTCCAACATCATCTCGAATCGAATACTCTTCTTGTCACCTTCAGCGTCGATCTCACCGACGAACACCTTATCGTAATGTACCACATCAAAGACGTTGCCTAACTTGTAGTTGGCGATGGCGAACGTGCCTGCGTCTACCGCTCCCGGTGTGACCCGCAGGGACTTCCTCACCCCCGTCCCCGTAGAGAACGCAAACGTGAGCTTCTGTTGGTCCACAGGGAAACTGCGCAGCGTCACCTCCTCACTAAACGCAGCCACCACTCGACGACTAAATTGCAGGTGACTCAGATACTCCGACGTCGCCGTCACTGGCAACGCTAAACTAGTTGAGTCTGTGAAGTGAACAGGCCCCGCTGGTGACAGACTGGACGTCATCTCGCGCTCTTCTTGCATCGAGTTGACGTTCGTGAACTCAAACTGGTTCTCATCGAACTCGAGAATGTCCATGAGCTCACGTAGTACCGAGTCTTCTCGGATTGTGGTGATAGCCGGCATCGTAACCTCCCACGTCACATCAGCAGTAAACGTTTGGCCCACTGTGTCAACTGAAATGATAGAGTTGACTTCGATCTGTACTTCAAGCGGCGAAAAGCCGGCCATTAAGTGAGCTGTCACCGGACCAGGACGGCTACTCCCAATATTCCCCGTATCATGAGGAGGCACAATATCTCGAAGGAACCAATGCTGCTTGTGTCCCCATTTACCAAGCTGCATCTTCCATGGGAACAGAGTTGGGGGCAGGTCGTCAGCTTCAGCAGAGGCCAACGTGGAGCTTCGAGCCTTTGCTGGATCATTCGAATTCCCCGCAGCTTCGACCTTTTTGGCTAATTCTTCAACCTCCACATGGTTCATCTCGGTCTTACGCCATGACATGCAGTGCACGTTGCGGTTGTTGTCACTAAGGCGAATAATCTTCCAGATGCTCCCACAGGCCACGTCAACGTCATGTACTCGGCATTGGCGAGATATGGTTCAGGGAGAGGGTGTTCCAGCTCGAGGTGAAGGTGATACTGGACGCGGTCGGTGTTGATATCGATGGCGACGTGCTCGAGTGTGAGCTTGTCGTTGAGTACGACACTGGACCACGTCTGCGCTTCCTCGATGGTAGCAGTGGTGGAGGATTGTAGACTTGTGTTGCTCTTCATCTTGAGGACGTGCGCAACCGACACTGAGGTTTTTATAGCGTACAGACAGCAGATTTAGGAGTGCCGTAAGTCAGTTGACAGCCACGCACTGCTTCTGATCGCTGGGTGTACTGTATCCATTCCTCGTGACTAAAGCTCGCGGCTGACTGATGATTACCATGTATGGCTGACATCCCTCCAGGTTGCTCATTTTCCAAATCAGCAAGTTAAGTAAAGGGGACGGGTGACATTGTTTACCTACGATTAAACGGGAAAGGTTTGTGCAAATCTACGGGGCACGAGAATCATTGCGGTCAGCGTGACCATCAACTCCGCCGGAGGGGAAAATGACACCAGGTGAGTGGATACAGTACATGAAAGTTGTGACAGAAAGTGTAAAATGATCACAGCAAGGAGAAAGTCAGGTTAGCTCGCGCGAGTTATTCTGACTCATAGAGAAAGTCAGGTTAACTCGCGCTAATTATTCTGACTCAGGGGGATATATTACAAACACAGCCACGTCGTGTAATAGGCCTGCAGATCGCTCACTGAAAATCCATCCATTTGCTGCTTAAGTACGAGCTAGGCTAGGTGATCCGGACCTGTAGCGGTGTATTCTTGTGGCTCACCAGACACTGGTATTGCATGAAACCATGTTATGCTGCAGAGGTCGCAGTACTGAGTATAGACGCGCACGTAAAACTCGTACTGTACAGACCTCCCATGAGATAAGGCGTAGTCTTGAACAGCATGAAGAGCATGTGAAGCAGTATCAAAAGTCATTCCGACCTGAATAGTGTTTTCCTCATCGCCGCTGTCCAATCCATCAGCGATGTCGTCGATGTCCTCCGTCATTTGCGGCCCTCAGTCGTAATAAGTAGTTTTGGTACTTAAGAGTTATGACGTATTGCGCGCTGTATACCAAGTTGCGAAGTGAGATTAGTCAAAGAGTCCTCAAACTATCCCTATCTACGAGCTCCTGCGGCAGCAGTACCTGTCCTTTATGCTGCTGCTTCAGTAGCCGCGTGCCACCGGCTACGCCTGGTCGCCGGCGTGTGCCGCCCGCTCACTGTCGCCAGTCGCGTTGCCGATATGTCTTGGAGGCACGCGAGAGCGAAACACGAGCCATCGAGGACGCGCCTCCTCTCAGTATTCGCTGAGTCTGTTCAGGCAATGTCGTCTGATACTTGGTGTGCCATACTCCACAAGAGTGTACGATTTGGGTCTTCATACGCATGGCGAACATTAGTATACAACGGGTTTTTGGGTTTAAGTCCGGCCCACCTTTTTTCAGCCATTCAATCATTTAGACACACATTGTGACGTTTGTCCCTA